AAACAGTTTTGGCAGGGCACTGCTTCCCCCTCCTGAGGCACCGGACGGTTTGCCAGAATCTCTTCGAGGCCGACTGATAGTCCTTCTCCATGGCCTCACCGAAATCCTCCCAGACCTGAGTTTTTGCCTCCGCAACCGCCTGGTGACCGGCTCGATATAGTCGGGCTCACCTCCACGCACAGCTTGGGCTCTGGAACCTTACTCCTCGAGAGAGGCTGGACGTGTTACTATCAACAGTGAAAATGGCTGCATTTTATTGAAGAGTCATCTGACAGTGAACCAACAAGTGCAATATCAGGACACCGAAACTGAAGCAGCTACATGGAATTCAGCCAACATCCATTTTATTATTTACACCTGTACTTTTCCCACTGAGACATGCCCAAATGTATTCAGTAAAATGAGCCTTTTACCTACAGTGATCTGTAATCGATCTATATTAATACTACTTTAATGCATATTGGAATAAAGCTTGATCATTCAAAGTAGGTGACAAGTCAAATATAATGTTGCTTATGATAAAACCGATCTTTTCATGAGAAGTTCAACATTACATCTTTTTTTTGAGTTTCATTATCTGTTTTTGGCATGTTAAGATCTCAATTTCACTAAGCCATGTAGGCTTTTCCTAGGAAATTCTGTATAGAAAATAGCTTCACAAATGAACTCTGAAGATGAAAACATCATCAACATGCTTTATGTTACCAGAGGAGCAGTGGATCGGAGCTGTGTGGTGGTGTGCATTTTATAACATCCATACTGAGATAGTCGTTGATTCAACCTTGCAGTTCACATTGTGTCAAAATGAAAGATACACTACTAAGGAAAGTAAATACACATTGCAGTATATAGTATAGTGTATAGTAAAACAAAATAAAAACACCCTTTCAGGATTTAATTAGATTTTTGTTCAGTATATGAATTCAATTTCCTTTGTGACCAAATTTTCACACCTGGTAGCCTTGACTGTTGTTCTGGTTTCCAAAGAGAGGAGTGCCAGGATCTCCACAGGTAGTGTGAGTGGGGTCTGCAACAACATGAAAACACAATTCTGTGATAACTGCTCTCATGTTAAAACAAGTCTAATTTAATATACATGGCATTCAAGACAAACAGATACGTGCTCTGACCTAGTAGTCAGCCATCACAATTTAGTCCATGTCAAAGTCACACAAATCCTTACACTTGCCCATTTTTCCTGCTTCCAACACATCAACATTAAGAACTGACTGTTCACATGCTGCCTAATATACCTGTGAAGGCCTCAGTCCTGGCCTTCACCATGTGAAGGCCTAAACCACCACCAGCAACAGATTTGGTTGGGTAATTTCTTTGTTTATGTGTATAGGTTAAGTTATAGGTAAATATTGTTTGATATTAGACATACACAATTGATCAATGAGCATGCACATTTGATTAATTTTGTATTGTTAATATGTGTAAATTTTCTTTTGAGTTACCATGTTTCCTGGTCCATGGATGGGAGGCAGTTCAACCAAAAGATTGGACTGGGGAAGCAGCAGGTTTAAATACCTCCCACTAGGCCTGGACTGCACCAAGTGCCCAGTACAATGAAGAGGGGAGTTTGGGAGAAAGTTATTGTTTATTTGTTGGTAGTTTTTGTTAAAACTTTATTTGTTAAGTTATGTTAATATCTTTACATTTAAAGGAAATATTTAGTTGTGAGCAGACTGTCTGTTTAGTGTTCATTAGGTGATTATTTTGGTAGTGTCTTTGGTCTACCCCTTGTGTGTGTGTTGTTGGTTTGGCCAGCCAATATAAATGTTCCCCTGTGTGTGTGTCACTTGTTAGGTCAGTTGGTTTTTGTTGAGGTATCAGACAGGTCAGTTTGCTGTATTTTGAGTTTCTTTATCTTTTGTTGACCTCTTTTTAGGGCCCAATTTATTTGATGTTAATGTTTGTATTTTTCCTTATCTTTTGGGTAATAAAAAAGCCCATTGTTTTGAACTTTGAAAGCTGTGTCTTTTTGCCTTACTGCTTGGTCCCTGACATAGCCCAAAAACTAAACAACCTCAGATGTTCCAATGAGTGCCTGCTGCTGTCACAAATTTGCTACTATCACATCATTCTTGTTGTCACACCTGGGTATTGTTGTCTAATAAATAAACACGTTTACATTAAGTTACAACGATTCTACACAAACAAGCAAAGTTACCACCATTAAACCCACTACTCAGGAAATTTGGTTAAAAAAAAGCTTCACACAAATATATATATTCTGACTGTTCATCAAAACTACTAGCCTGAACACATAACCTGTTTCTGCTGTTTGGCTTGTAATATGAGCTACTATTAGTTACGTTAACTACATTGCAACTAATGTGGCTAAGTTAAACACGCTAACTTCATAAACAAGCAGTACAATAACTTCAAAATAGCAACACTTACAGCATTGGGATGTGATGAAGACTCACAGACAGTTGGAATAGATCCACTCTTGAGCTTCAGTCTGGAACAACGTTCCCTCTAAGCTGCGCGCTTGTGCAATCGCGCACTCCTCCCGCGTTCTCCGCGCACAGCAAATCTATGCAGCGCATAAAATAAAATCCAACCTGAACTATAAATAAAATAAACACATAACAATGTATTCTGTACCATGTTGCAATGGAAGTGAAATGAGTAGTGTTAGAACATGACATACAATGTTTTAAGGATATCTTCAGAAACAGTTACACAGTGAACATACAATATCCACTGTGTCTTTGCAGGCTCTGACGATGGAAGTAGGCAGAAACATTTGTGCTCAGTGTGCAACCAACAACCAAGCAGAACCTGTGCTTTCCTTGGAGCTATGCCACGTTGCTGTTCATCTGCTGTTCTTGTGAGAAAATCACAGTGGTGCAGCGGTAGTACCAAAAAGAGATCTGAGTGGGAGGAGAATCTATGAAATGAATTTGTGTCATTTCATATGACGTCATAAACAGAGGCAAATCCGAACAGTGTGTTCGAGCAGGGGTTTTTACAAATGCGGAAAAAGCAAAACAGCCAGGGACTGTCAGAAAATGCTTTAAAAGTGAATTTGGCATAATGTGTCCTTTTAACTTTCTTGGCCTGCTTTTCTACCTCAAAGAAAAAAACATCACGCTCTTTCCATTGTCAGTATGTTTAATATCCTTTGATTTCCTTCTCTCCATGCCCAACCTGTGTCTCAAGAATTTATGACAGCCTGCATGACAAACTTCTTCCATCTGGCTTTAAGATAGGAAATGAATAAAACATCTGACAGACAGAGAGGAACCTTTACACCTCTTTTACTTGTCCTCTTTGTCCTTTTCATGCTGCCACCAATAAAAATATAAAGATGAAAGAGC